CTCGTGATGAGTTACAGATGATCACGCGGAAGACTCGCATACCTCTATCGGAGGAGGGTCAGGGGGTCCTTAAGGCGGAAGCTTCTACAGTAGCAGTAACGGGGGTGACTGCCAGAGCGGATCGCATGGCGACAGTCCTTCTCGATGGAATGAAAGGTGTGCCTCCAAACAAGTTTTATATACTTGGTAGCGGGGCCGTGGAGGCGATTATAAACGATGGAGCGGTACTCGATGCTGTGATCGATAACGGCAGTGAGGCTGTCATCATAGACGAGGACCTAGCAGTACAGGTTGGACTGGGCCTCGATAGGTCATACCTATTCGAGATAGAGACGGCTGATGGGAGAAAGCAACAGATCACTGGGGTTTGTCACAAGGCAGCCATAGAGGTCCACGGGGTACGAGTAACCCTGCCTGTCTTTGCAGTCAAGAACTGCAGCTCCGACCTGCTCTTGGGTCGAACGTGGCTGAGCCACGTGCATGCGGTGACGATAGAGCGACCTGATGGGAGCCAAACATTATCCATTAAGAAGCCAGACGGGACGCTGGTAATGATTGAGACAGTGGAGCCTCGGGACCCGAGGAACAGAGCAGCTCTAGCTGTGGGTGCGAGACCCAGTGATCAGATTAAGTCGTTACCTATCTCCGGCCGCGCGGTGCGATTTCGCGAGAAGAAATATGGACCACTGCTCACAGAGGAAGAAGATCGGATCGTGGAGGTGGAAGATTTAGGGAGTCGGCTAATAGTGGACGACAACTCGTACCCAAAGGAAAAAGATGAGGAATTTAGCGGTGTGGTATCCGTGTTTTTTTTAAGGGCACGGCCCCTATGGGGGGCTACCCAAGAGACACAAGCGAGTAGCTCAAAAAGTTAAGCCAGCGGCGGTGGCCCGCGAGCGATCTGCACTGGAAGGGATATCGGAAGAAGAGATCGCGAAAGAAATCAAAGAAAGAAAGAGAAAGGAGCTGCAACGCCTAACGGAAGAGAGGGTAGCAGGGATGGACATCGGAGATGGGAATTTGACCCCACAGGAGCGAGAACGTGTGATAGAAATCCTGAAGACATGTGATAAGGCCATAGCTTTTAGTGACGCGGAGCGCGATAGGGTTGACCCTCGATACGCTAAGCCAGCAAGGATTTACACGATACCACATGTTCCCTGGAATGACGCAGGATGGAAATACGCCCAGAAGGAGAAGGAAGAAATTATCGCTTTCTTGAAAGAAAAGATGGTTTCCCACGTTGCGGAGCCGTCTGATAGCGCTTATGCTAATCGATGGTTCTTCCTACGAAAGCCGAATGGCAAAATCCGATAGATCCAGGACCTTCAGAAGGTCAACGCGGTGACGATACGAGACGTGGGCTCCGTGCCACACGCCGATTTACTGGCAGAAGGCGCCGAAGGTAGGTCGATTTATTCGGTCTGTGATCTGTTCTCAGGTTATGATGAGGTACCGCTTGCCCCTAGAGACAGGCACCTCACGGCTATGCATACGCCATTGGGACTAATACAGATGATGGTTGTTCCTATGGGTTGGACTAATGGTTGAAGTTGTTCCTATGGTTGTTCCTATGATGAGGTAACCGTTTTTCAGAGAGTCATGGTAGCCGTCCTCAAGGACGTCATCCCTGATAAGGTTGAAGTTTTTCTGGATGACTTTCCTATAAAAGGACCAGTAAACAAGGATGAGGCAGAGGTTGCACCTGGAGTTAGAAGATTCGTCGAGCAGCACCTAACGGATATTTGCGCGGTACTCGAGCAGCTGGACGATGCGAATCTAACAGTCAGTGGAACAAAGAGTCGATGGGTCGTCTTGACTATTAAGATCTTGGGCTTTATCTGTGACTCGAGGGGACGCCGAGCATATCCTACGAAGTTAGACAAACTCCTGAACTGGCGGTCACCATTACATAGTCCAACCGAGGTCCGACAGTTTCTGGGATTGGTCGGTTACTGGCGAATATTCATACGAGGGTATGCAGAGAAGGCTGAGCCATTGAGATTACTCCTTCGAAAAACTGAGAAATTCTACTGGGATTCCTCGCAGGAAATCGCTATGCAAGAGCTTAAAGATGAATTTAAGGAGGGAGGATGCGTACTGGGCGTGTCGTACTTTGATGATGAGGCTGGGAGACCCTTCATAGTAGCCACGGATGCTGGGCCTTGTTCGGTAGGAGGGTTGCTGTCGCAGAAGGACGCTGAAGGGAAGGAAAGACCATTAAGATTTGAGAGTAGGACACTTAATACGGCGGAGCGAAACTACAGTCAATTCAAGAAGGAAGTATTAGCTGTTYTGYGGTGTCTAGACACGTTCAGACATTATATCTATGGACGAYGGTTCATYTTGAGAGTAGATCCCACMRCGGTTRCCTCTGTCCTCCAGAAGGACTTTAGCCTGACAGACCCGACCATTGCACGATGGTTAATACGGATTCGGCTATATGATTACACAGTAGAGAGGATATCTGACACTAAAAATGTCGTAGCGAATGGGCTCTCTCGGATCCCTCTTGAGGGAGAGCGCCCGATAGTAGCTGGAGCCCTGACAATGGCGGAGCCGAGATGCGCCGAGAGATTTCTGGTTAACCTTTACGAGGGCAAGTACCGAACGATCGGGCTACACCTGACGGGAGAGGAGAGTCAAGATTTAGATACCCGGAAACAAGCAGCCCAGTACTGCCTTAGAGCGGGCCACCTTTTTCGAAGGCCAGTAGGGTCGGGAATGCCCTTACGAGTAGTCTGTGATCGTGAGGAGAGACAGACGATAGTTGCGGAGCTTCACGACGGGGTAGTCGGAGGACACAGGGGAGTCAAAGGAACCTACGAAAAGATACGCCGGCTGTACTGGTGGGAAGGACAGTATAAGGACGTCGAGAGGTACTGTATGACATGCGAGGAATGCCAGAAAAGGGCTCTTGTGAAATACAAAGAGCGACTTCATCCATCCTATCCAACCCGACCAGGAGAGAAGGTACACATCGATCTGGTGAAGATGCCGAAAGGGGTAGGCAATATGAACTATGTTGTGAACATACGAGACGACTTCACGGGTTCGTGGACGGTAGACCTATCAGGAGTAAGACGGCAAAGGAAGTGAAGAACTTCGTCCTAGAGTACTTATCTAGGTATAGTTGTGTCCGCAAGATAGTGATGGACAGAGGAGCGGAATTCCTGGCTGACGAGGTTCAGAATGTATTCCAGAGAGATGGGGCGAGAGTTTCGATAGCCACTGCCTACCACCCACAGTCGAACTCCCTAGTAGAGAGAGGGCACCAGACCCTGATAGCGTCGCTATCTAAGTGGTGCAAAGGCAAGGACAGTGATTGACCACGATATTTTCGATACGCAATTTGGGCGGACAACGTCACGGTCCGGGCTAGCACGGGATACCCTCCATACACCTTGTGGTTTGGGCGGCATTGTCCGCTTTCCATAGAGTTTCACGTCGACAGCTGGACAACCGTCGACTGGGCGGAGGAGATGTCCAGAGAGGAACTCATAGCTGCCCGAACAAGACAGATAGTCTACGGTTTTGAAAATAACCTTATGACAGCGGCATATCGTCTGGCAGTGGAAAGAGACAAAGGTAAAGAGAGATGGGATACTAACGTGAGAATCAGGAAGGAGAGGGTGAGTGTAGGAGATATGGTCCTTCTCTACGATGCAGCACTGGAAAGAACCTGGACCGGAAAACTCGCCAACAGATGGATGGGACCTTACAGAGTGGTAGAGGCACTCGACTGGGGTGCATATATGATAGCAGAATTAGACGGATCCAAGTGGAAGGACCCAGTGGCGGGTGTTAGGTTAAAGTTGTTTAGGCCCAGGCCCGCACCCGCCTTATCGCTGACCAGCCCGAAAGGGAAAGGAAAAGCCATAATGGAGGATGGAGCCCCCTTGAGGCAATTCAAGGCAGGGGAGAGTTCCACGAAAAGGAAAAAAATAAAGAAGAGAAAGGTCAAAGGGTTAGCTTTAGGAAGAGAGAAGAGATGGTTATTCGTGCTCAAGCGAGCTAGACGGAGAATTCGCGTTAGACGTACTGGCAGGTCGGCACCCTTCTCGGGGCAAAGACAAAAGAAAAAGAGGATCGTGTCGGGGCCAAAAACCAGAAGAAACAGGAGAGTCAAGAAGCATCTTCTTAGCCCCCAGGACTCATAACAAACTGAAACATAAGACAATTGAACGCCGACGTGGGCGTCCTTTACGGGCCATCACCCTGAAGCTCGTCCGCTTCGTCTGACGTAAGTTGCTAGGGCTCGACGGGGGCATCGAGAAGAGGTCCGGGCTAACTGTCAGGCGGCCACAAGGGATAGGCCGCCTGAAAGTTGCGGCTTTGGGACCTAGGCTCAAAAACAAGTGTGTGTTTTGATGGTACTCTGGTTTCACGAGGCAGCAAAAATTAGGGGAACCAAGGGCATTCCTGATTTTGTGCACATTGAACCTTACGAGTAACCCTCAAAGATGACAAAATGGGTAGCCGCTCCCGGCACATCTTCGAACTGTCACTTCCGCCCGTCCCGAGGCTAGACCTGAAATGGCCGGCTGCTAAGAGATATCACGGGGACTGACCCCGCGGTAACGCCTTTTGCAGCACACGATTGGGGCCGAGTGATGCCTCGAATTTTTGTCAATTTTGATGTCGAAATTAAAATGGAAGAGACGGTTAAAGATGGTGGGATAAGAGAGAAAAATAAAATATTTTTTGATTTCTATAATTTCCATGGCATTTAATTTTAGTAGAAACTCCGTCGTTATTTTACGTTTCCGGCAATGAGATCAAAAATGAAGAAAAAAGATTAAACATGACAAAAAAAAAAGGAAASAAAAGAATTTCAATCATTTGATTTAAACCCCTCAGTGTTTATTTTTTGTGAAATTGCGACTATTATACTAATTCAGACAATAGAATTAGGAAGAGAGTGAAATGATTAAAACAAAGACGGAACGAACAGGAACTACTGACTATTCGATGTCTGGCCTGATTTTGTTTAGATTACCCACCGTCAGCCCGGAACCCCGAGTTGATCAAATTCTCTGAACTCTAACCCCTTTTGTTACTATCCCCTGATGATCGGGATTTTCCGCGTCGTTCTCTTGATTTACCTGACTATTGACCCTCTGAGGCAGTCCGAGGATGGTCACATGGGCAGCGTGAGACGGTGCTGCTTTGGACCAACGGTATGATATTTGGGTCGGTACGGACACCGGTTCGGAAGGGTTCCGGTTATAGTTCGGTGTTTTGGTTCGGGGTGAGCTCAGTATCAGTGCATTTCAGGTTCGGACATATCAGTGTTATTGATTGTCAGACTTGGGGCTGCTACGACGATCTATTTCAGCTTCGCCGCCGCCATGGCGGTTTATCCCGGGCACGGTGCTATCGCGGCCATTGATTTCGGATTCGGTATGACTCGACACCGACATATTTTTGTTTCAGCTCGATAAGGGTTCGACATCAGCTTATTTCAGGCTCGAGCAGATCAGGGTGATTTATTATCCGGTTAGGAACCACCACATTGATTTATTTCAGGATCGGAACAGCTTCGACGTGACTCCGACCGTTCACTTCCGAATCAGCACCAACACGACAATTTATTTCAGCATCGAAGCCATTGCCATATTAATTTTCTGGTTCGGTTTCGGGTCGGCTGGCACGGTACGGGCTATTTCAGTTCTCTGCGACAACGATCGGATGTGTGTGTGAAAAACGACTCCAAATGATTGGTATGATTTGGTACGNAATTCTCTGAACTCTAACCCCTTTTGTTACTATCCCCTGATGATCGGGATTTTCCGCGTCGTTCTCTTGATTTACCTGACTATTGACCCTCTGAGGCAGTCCGAGGATGGTCACATGGGCAGCGTGAGACGGTGCTGCTTTGGACCAACGGTATGATATTTGGGTCGGTACGGACACCGGTTCGGAAGGGTTCCGGTTATAGTTCGGTGTTTTGGTTCGGGGTGAGCTCAGTATCAGTGCATTTCAGGTTCGGACATATCAGTGTTATTGATTGTCAGACTTGGGGCTGCTACGACGATCTATTTCAGCTTCGCCGCCGCCATGGCGGTTTATCCCGGGCACGGTGCTATCGCGGCCATTGATTTCGGATTCGGTATGACTCGACACCGACATATTTTTTTTCCAGCTCGACAAGGGTTCGACATCAACTTATTTCAGGCTCGAGCAGATCAGGGTGATTTATTATCCGGTTTGGAACCACCACATTGATTTATTTCAGGATCGGAACAGCTACGACGTGACCCGACCGTCTACTTCTGGATCAGCACCAACACGACAATTTATTTAAGCATCGAAGCCCTTGCCACATTAATTTTCTGGTTCGGTTTGGGGTCGGCTGGCACGGTACGGGCTATTTCAGTTCTCTGCGACAACGATCGGATGTGTGTGTGAAAAACGACTCCAAATGATTGGTATGATTTGGTACGAGTGCTACGGTCGGAGACATTGTCACGGAACAGTTGCTGCAAAATACCGCGGCCAGTAGCTGCAGTCCCAGACGGCTATGTCAATGGGACTACGGTTCAATATTGAGGCCCTCTTCATTATCTTGGGTATGTACGGCACTGGCGTGAGGCTTTGGTCTGTCACCGGACTGGCACGGTCATTGGGCCAATACAGCCAGGTCACGGGGCCGCGGTACTATTATGCTCGGCACAGTTTCTGATTTGGTAACTAGGACAGTTCTCTTTAATTTCGACTGCAACGCCTATCGGTACCGTTGGACTGGAATTCCCACAGTACGGGGGTACCCGGACCCTCAGCAGCATGTGCTCCGTAAAAGGCTACGGTCGCAGCATATAGGGGAAGGCAGCGAAGGGAGGAGGGACGCACTCAGTACGAGCAAGGTGTACCCTCGTATGCAAGCGCGGGGACGACGCGCCAGCGCTGAGGCGGTTACTCCGCGTGTGAGGGGAGTGACGTGGGGGAAAGGAGCATGCAAGGTGTACCTGGCCCACAACATAGTGGGATCCAGGCAGGTCAACGCGTTGGGAGCAGCATGCAAGGCGTTCCCCACCCACGTAGCATGCACAGAGGGGGTGTGCGGAGAGACTGAGAAAGAGAGTGAGAGGATCAGACTGCGCAGCGTGCTCGAGAGAGAGGGAGAGAGACAGGGGGACTTGCCTTTGGCGGCGTGCCAGGTGTATCTGACGTTCCGTTAGCACATGTGGCGCGCGGTTAGGGGGAGAAATTGATTCTGGCAGGGTGCCAGGAGTACGGGGCGCTAGTTTGACTGAGAGGTGATGGTTCGGGAAGGAGACTTGGAGAGACGCGCTAGGCGTAGCCAGCTGATGATCCAACAGCAAGGGAATCTGCACGCTCTCGGTAATTGCGGGAGCACGGCGAGCGCGGCTGCCAGATGGGCAACACGAGAAGGGGAATGTGGCTCTACTGCAGATGGGATCTGTTGCGCCACGAGTGAAAACACCAATCACACTCTACTACAGATGAGATCTGCTGCCTAACGAGTGAAAGCACCAATGACACTCTACTGCAGATGAGATTTGATGCCTCACGAATGAAAACACCAATCACACTCTACTGCTGATTAGATCTGCTGCCTCACGAGTGAGAACACCAATCAACATTTACTGTTGATGGGATCTGTGAAAGTATCAATTACATTCTACAGTTGATGGAATCTGCTACCCTATGCGAGAAGCAAACGGCCACTTTCCACAGTTGGTGGGATTTGCTATCCTGCAAGGGAGAACTACAACTATATTCGGTCGCAGATGGAATCTGGTAATCCGCTAACGGAGAGAGCCACCAAGTTCTGTAGTAGATGGGATCCGCTAGTCTGTTGGTGACACTGTTGAAGAAACCAGCCATGACGCTGGGCAGAGGCAGATTCAACTATACCTCTGGTTGATGAACCGGTGATACTCGTAGGAACTCAATTTATCCGCTCCGTTGACCCCAGAACCAGCCACTCCGAAAGAAGGGAAACTTATGAGATCAGGTAAGTTGTACGCGAAGGCTAGTGGGTCCACAGGCATGAGTGTTGAAGGGGGGGTTTGAGTGAGAGAGTAAGTCAGTGACAAAGAAAGATAGTGGGGTAGAGCTGGAAGAGAGTGAAAGAGAGTCAATTTAAGCCGCTTGTCTGAACGAGCAATCATCATTAATTTAAT